AGTCATATCAGGTTATTCGAGGTGCATACACTGGTATTAGGATGTTACAAGCAATACCAGTTGTAGGCTGTGCTCCCTTGATTATATGGACATGAGGAGCTGGTGACACCACAGACCATGAGTGCATGTTGATGCATTACAGGCATTATCAAGACTTTTGCTCTATTTTTAGCAGCTGGTTTAAAAAAAAAAAAAAAAAAATGTAAACATAACTTTACATTAGAAAACAAAGAAAGGCATAATAAACTCTTCCTGGGACTGAAAGTGATGAATTAAGAGCTGTATTTGAACTGTCTGTCAGTTTCAAATTCTTCTGTGGATCATTTGCATGCGTTTGTGTTACAAAAATAACAACACATCATCATCAGTTTCACACAAACAGCGATGAGTAGTTACTGAGTTGTATGTTCATGGATTCTCCTGCAGGATGCTTTTGGACTGCTTCCCAACATCACCTGCTTCACCCTGAACATTTCAGAGCTGATCAAGCCGGAGCAGCGGCACCTCACCGCTCACCAGCTAAGCTCCTTCGAGTGCTACATGGCAAAGGTGTCAAAGTTCACCCCGGAGATGTCGTCACAGCTGCACTACATCTGCCAGATCATACGTGATGTGCTGCATCTCTGGACTGGCAATACGGTCTCCCACACATGCAGACTACCCTCCTTCAAGCAGGACTTGGACAGCTATGTGTACACTAAGTGCTTGCTGGAGCTTGTGGAAGAATGGCTCGGCAAAGCTACGTTTAGAATTCACTGATTGGTCGGCTACTAATGTTCTCTTTTATTGAAAATATTTAGTTAAATCTGATACCTGGTCATGGATTCTATTGAGCAAATGTTTTGTATTGAAATTAAAGTGATGAAAAGACAAAGTTTTCAGTTTTGTTGTATTTATTGTGATTCTGAATCATTTAAGGCATTTTCCATCATGTTACATGTAGACATTTGGGAAGAGCACAAAGAAACAGTCGTATCCAGCATAAGAAAATATCTTTTCTTCATAAAACCAACAATACAATACTAAATGTGGGGAGTCGAACATAAGCAGATCCAATCTGCGTCATCCTGTACATCATCCAAAACAAATCCACACAAAGAAACACAAAAGTAAAGATCACTAGAGAGAGAGAAGGAAAGAAAACTGTGTAATACAGGAGAGAAACGGCACAGAGACATCCTCAAAAGAGGAGAAACAACTACAAAACTATTTAAAGAGAAAGCCTAGCTGCATTCAGAGGTGCATCTTCATCATCAAATAGTAGTAAATCATATCTGAACTCTATATATTTGACTCGCAACACCAAACTGTTCATTTAAGTGTTCATCACTGCATTCTCCATTTTTTGTGAACTGAGCAGCCTACAGAGGAACACAAGAGCACAACTTCCCCTATAAAAGACTCGTGCAATCCAATCATAAATAAAAAAAGAAAAGAACTGCACACACAAAAAGCTGCACATTCATCTATTAAACATGGTGCGTTGTGCTACTGTAAACTCAGTTGTTCTGCACAATAAAAGAAAAAAACAAAAACAAACTCACAACATCTGCCTGAGGAGTGCTGAACCACAAAAGAAGATAGAGACGAATCCGCTGGCAAAGATCACATGCAGGCACACCTTGGCTGCCAGCTGCACTCACAGTGTCTAACCCTCAAGCTCTCCACAAAGCAGAGTACTCCATAAAAACATTATGCCAGTAACACAACAGACTGAGAATACTCTTGGATATGGCTTTGGGTGTGTTTCTTTGCGCTTCCTCCAATGCATTGCTTTTTATCTGTTTTTGCTTTGAACACGTGTACCCGTGAGAAGGAAAGAAACAGCAGGTAAGTGAAACCTGTACCCTTACAGACAGTACGTGTTCCTGCTGAGAAGGATCCTGGCTCGACTTGTTCTTAGATGATTAGGGTACCCTGAGTGATCAGTAAAGAACCAGAAAGACCCCTACTGCACACTGAAGATCCTGTAACACTGTAGATGCGGGAATATACAGTAGTGTATGCAAAATCTGTACTGCTAGTTCAGTTACGCGTCTTGTGGGCGCTGACAGTAATGTTGCGGCATCGTGCTGCGGCCTGCAACATTCATCCTTGTGTTGTTTGCAGGTGAGCTCAGTAGAAATGGGCAGAGCAGGGACGGAAAAAAACTGCTATGAACAAGATAACATTCACCTGAGTAAACAAGGGACGGTGAACAGAACAGGACAGGCAAATTCCAACATATAAGTATTCAACTTTAATATATTTCAATCTCCTCAATGGGAGGTGTTTGAACCTCCAAATAAAATAAATTGTACTTCTAGCTAGATTAAAAAACAAAACAAAAAAAAAAACAAAAAACATCTGATAATCTTGTGAAAGGAAAGAAATGATGTCCTTATACTGCATAAGAGAACAAACTTCACATTCAGTATTTCCCTTTTTGAAACACAATCTTGCGACTTAACATTTTTTAAATGTAACTTAAATTTAAATACAAGTTGTTGCTTTCAAGACATAAAAACAACATGGGCCAGCTTCTAATACACTAAAAGAGGAAAATCATGTGAAAGTTAAAGATAGTCATAGTTACTTCTATTTAAATATGATTAAAAAGTCATTTTTGCACTCATTTTGTTTGGTGCACCATGTGTTTCGTTCCCAAAAGTCAAACATAGTCTCTTTTCTGGGATTTGTGGAAGACTGAGCTTGCTGAAAGGCTACAAGGCAAACCAGTGATATGTTATGATGGTTAAAAAAAAAAAAGTTCAGGTGGCTTCTGGGTCACTTCCAGGAGGAATCTAAGAGTTTGTTTGTGTTACGGCCTGGATGGCTTCTTCAGGGAGCACGGATGGATCGCTGAGAATGGACGTGGTAGTGCACAGCTGGCGAAGAGTACTTAGGACCACTGAAAAACAAGCCCAAATGAATTGCATTAAAACAAATGGTTGATATTTGCACAAACAGATGCCCGTGTGCTTTCCATTTAGAGCCACATGTAGTTTGCTCTGATTTAATCTGAGTTTTGGTTGACTGCATGACCTGCTCAAATTCAAATCAAGCATCAGCATAAAGAAGGTGATTTTAAGTCACTTTGAATGTGACATGGTCATTGGTCCCACACTAACTGGTGTTAATATCACAAAAACCGCTGGGATTTGCCTCTAACCAACCATCTCATACAGAGAAAAAACTATAAAATACTACAGAGAGTGAGCGGCTTGTTGATGCCAGAGGTCAGAAGAGAATGACCAATCTGCTGTGAGCTGATTGAAAAGCAAAAGTAATTTATACAGCCACTGGTTATAGCCGATGTATGCAGCACTTTTGAAGCAGATGAACTCCAGCAGCAGAAGATCATATGTAGTGCCACTTCTGTCAGCTAACAGGAAACTGAGGCTACAGTTCACAAAGACTCTCACAAAAACTGGACAAACTAGAGAAAAATGTTGCCTGGCGTGATGCATCTTGATTTCTGCTGCAGTATTTTTACAGTAGGGTCAGAATTTGGTACAAACAACAAGAAAACCAGCTTCATGTCCTGCCTTGCTCCAATGGATCAGTTGTGGTCTAATGATGGGGATGTTGTAGACATATTCTTGGCACACTTTGGGCCCCTTACTACCATTTGAGCATCATTTAAACTTCTCAGCCTCCATTAGTATCGTTGCTGACTATGTCTACCTGTAGGGGATGTTTCTCATGGCATGTAGACTCTGAAATGATATATACTGGTATACACTATATACTTGTACTACAGTGCTTTATATTTTAGGGAGTGCCCATGTTAAGCAGTCGAAACATACACAAATTATTTGTGACCAGTATACTTAGGTCAGGCTTGTGACATATTGGTAGATTATAGCTTTGACAGCCCAAACTGAAGTCTGAAGTTACCATAAATTAGTGAAATTGATAACTTTGGCATTACAACTCCTTTAAAGCCATAAAAATATCAAGGAGGACTAATTGCATTTTGCTGCAAAGCTGGCATAACAACCATGATCCTGACGCTTTAACCTGACCTTGGCCATAAAGCTGTCAAAATGAGCTATAAAGATGATGGACGATGAGGTCTGGGAAAGTTGTGTAAACTGACACATTGATCAAAGTAAGACATGAATAAATACATCTAATGTGTAACTGTTTTTAAAGAGAATGATTTCACACAAATTGGGAAAAATTGAATCTTAAAGTGGAAATTAAACACTTTTAAAGTCAAATTTTGAGAGCTTACATAACAAAAAGAGGAGAAGCCGTAGATGCCTCTCAATATAAAGGAGCCTCAGCCCTGACAAGTGTGGGTATGTTTGTCTTCATCTTTCATCTGTCTGTCTGCTGTTGGCACTTAAGGCGCTACACCCTGGGGATTGCTTTGCGTTGTCTTGCTGTTCTGTGTGTTGTGATGCTGTCATGCTGTTTATAAGACTGTTGTGACCTCTGTGTACCCATCTTCTTAAGACTGCTTCCAACAGCATAACACGCCATGTCACAAATCTCAAAAAGTTGCCTCTGTTCATCAGGACGTAGCATTTTTAGTGGAAGAAAATGCTATGTAATAATCAGATGCACTCATTGTAATTACAACAAAGTTACTGTGATTACCCCTCAAGTGAGTTATCATATCGTTCAAAAACTGTGCTACAATGTTGAATTTCCTGTTGTGTCATGGTTGTGTGATTTCTGATTAAAAGGCAGGAATATACAGAGATGGTGAAAGATAGGGCATAGTCAAAGCTGTGCAGATGGAAGAAAGTCCCTTTGGGGTCAAAAATCATCCAAAAGTGCTGATCCACTTCTCTTGCAAACAGTAGGTGGAATGAAGACGTAAAGGACTTTTCCCCCCACTTGTATGTCAGAGCATGTCGGTTATTTTACTTACTGGGTCTGAGTGCTGGAAGCGAGCAGTGACGATCCAGCCATTGCAGCGTGGTCTGACAAAGCTCTGCTCTGCTCGCTGTTGACACCATCCCATTGAAAGAATCAAAAAGAGGCTTGATAATGATGCTGAACTGAATGTATGACAGTCAAGGAGGAACTTTAAATCTGATTACACAACTTATCAAAATAGGCTTTAAATGTAAAAGGCCAAGAGGTATTAAAAATGCAGTGTGTGGTTTTGATACAGTCGAAGTCTTATTATCAACCCTACTACATTATTGACCTGGAGAGCAAAGGTAAATAAATACCTGAAGGTTTCCCTACTAGGATGCTAGGTTCTCTCTCACGCACATATATATATATACATAATACAGGGTTAAGATATATACTGAGACAAACAAGCTGATCTACACTACAGCAGCAGTGATCAATGAGATGCTTGGCTACAAGTTGAACATCCACAAGGAGCAGTACCCTCCATTGGAGAAGGAGAGTGGTTAGCCAACTATCAGAACTGCAGGGAGGTACTTAAGAAGTACAGCGAGCTGTCCATACCTAACACTTTGGAAACTGCCAAGAAAAGACTCACAACTTTGGTCAGCTGCTTGAAGAGGTAAACCAGAGAGATAGAAGGCAAAGAATAAAGCAGCTGTTCTCCACAGAACCAGCCAAGGTGTACTTTCAGTGGCAAGGGAACAATATGAGAGCAGCACCACCAAGGCTGGAGACGGAACAATACTGGAAGAGCATATGGGTAGCAAAGCTCATTGGCTAATGAATTTAAGAGAAGACTAGAAGAATAGATTACAAGAAGGCCGATGACTCAATGTCCCACACTTGGATCCTGGAATGCCTAGAACTATACAAGATCAACAGGACCCTAAGAGCCTTCATCAGGAACTCAATGGGGATGCATCTGCATCGGCCTGAACCCCCTCAGTGAGATCATTGACAAGACTGGCTACTAGGGTTGGGTGATTGGACGAATAAATCAACTATCGGTGATCGTTTTCACAAGGGCGATTTATTCATTTATTTGCCCATGAGCAAGTTTGCTAATGATGATGGAGCTAATAGAAGCAGTCAACAAAAAAAAAATAAATAAATAATAGCGCTGTTTTAACAGCACCCTCTTTTATTCGTGAGCAAATGCACCCTCCTCAGAGTGCGCCCAAATGCTTGTTGATGGAGATGGGTTTAGCGCGTTAAAAATTTTAATCATGTTAATTGTGATGACCGCATAAATGCTGCGCCAACGCTGACAGCCCCAATTTTTCTGGGGAAATTAGTTCATCCATGTTTGGACTTCTTCTGTATTATAAACATGAAATCAGTCTGTGCATGATTACACGGAGGATATGTGCATGCGCGAATATATCGCCCATCATCGATTATTGGACTGACAATTGTCGGCTGGAAAATTTTTATATATCGCCCAAACCTACAGGCTACAAATACTGACTGTGGAATGGAGCAGTTTTCAGCCACCTCCTGTATGGATGACATCAAGCTGTATGCCGAGAGTGAACAAGACATCAATTCACTGATCCACACCACCAGGATATACAGCAGTGACATCGGAATGTTGTCCGGCCTGGAGAAAAGTAGTTTGATGATAACATAGAGAGGGAAGGTAGTAAGAACTGAGGGGGTAATAACACCTATGCCCTGCCTGTGATCAGACCCTGCTGGGATAATAAGCTGGCCAGAGGAGGAGATAGAAGCCACTGATATCAAGAAAAGGAAGCTCCTTACCATGCATGCATGCAGGGTTTCACCTCATGTCCAGCATCCTGAGGCTGTATGCCAAGCAGAAGGAAGGAGGCTGGGGACTGGTGAGTGTCAGCACCACAGTCCAGGATGAGGCAACTAACATCCATGGCAAACAGAAGGAGACAGCTTATAGTGACAGATGTAGCAGTTCCGAATGACAGCAACATCAGGAACACAAGAAACTTAAGAAATTCCAAGGGCTCAGAGAAGGGCGGGAAGATGTGGAGGGTGAAGGTTACAGTGGCCCAGCAGTTATGGGAGACCTAACTTCCGAAATAGAAAAAGTAAATAGACCTCCCCTTTTCTATTTCACATCCTGACTGAACAGTCCACTGGTTTTAAAAATAATAAACATCCTGAACAGTTTTAGTGGCTCACTTTCTCTCCCATGTTTTGGCGCAGAACTGTAGTTTGTCCTGGACTGGAGTCAGAGCCATTCATACACATGTGGAGGTGGTCATTTGTGAGCCTGGAGCAATATTTAGTTTGATTATATTCACTTTGTAGAAAACCTTGCATTTGTGTGTCAAGTCAAATACAGTGGAATAGTCACTTCTTACAAACTGCTCCTTCAGGATCACATTTGTTAGGAGATCGCCTGATTGGATGTGTCGAAGTCCAGCATTCAGCCATTTAATCCTCTATTTTCACTGTCCAATGTTTTTGTTTTTTGCACCAGCACCATTTGTTACTTATTTTTCTGTGCAACTGTAGAATATTAAACTGAATAAGTAAATAAAGATTCCCCTTCACATAATACAAAGTCAATACAGATCTATAAACTCTTCTGGTCTTGTGTGAGGGGAGGCTAATTGGACTCTGGTAGATAACAAACAAACCAATCCCTCTGCTATCTGATACAACAGTACCTATTTATTTTAGGTTATTTATATGAATACTTTTAATATTTTATGGACTGAAAACTTTGAAATTTAAAAGCTGTATGAGGCACCAGTTTTATCTAAACCCTTCTTAAGAAAATAACTTACGCGTAACTTCTCCTGTCGGAAGGCTGCTTCTGCCTCTGCTGTGTATTTCCTGCAACTTATCATTCAGATCTCAGTGAGGTGCCTCTCTTTCTAGTTTCAAGTGGGAGACACAAAAGCCTCCCTCAAAAAATAAAAACTGTTACATCAGCTAGCTTGTAGAAGGATACAATCCAGAACTTCCAGTTCTGAAGTGTGCGGTTCTTCACATATTCATTAAACTTCTCTTGCATGTGGTCGAGGCGATGTCGTCTCATCGGTACGCCCGTCACAGGAAGCTGCTCCTGACACAAGCTGCAGTGAGGAAAGATTTCAGAGTTAATACATCAGATCGCTGTGCACGTTTAGTACTGTACTGTGCATAAGTCTCGAGCCACTCTTTACTTCCTTACATTTTGGTCGGTGCAGCAATGTACTGAAACCTGTGCAAACATACCGTATTTTTCGGACCGTAAGGCGCACCGGATTATAAGGTGCATTAAGTGAAACAAAACAGTCAGATAAATCAAATTTTACTCAACTCATTCTTCTTGCTTCCTCCACTTCTGTACCATTGATTAATTAATATTGAATTCTCTCACAGCTGCTCTATTCCCATGTCGGTGCATTATATTAATGACTGACTTCTAGTGGTGTGTGGATCGATACTGAAATATTGATTCCTCCGATACCACTTATTTATGTTCCAGAATCGATTCTCATATTAAAATATCAATATTTTACTAATTTGGGGTAAATTTTTAGTTTATCATTAACAGGAACACAGTGGAAAGAAACTATATCATTTGGATCGTTTAACTTGGAAGGAACTACTTCCTCTTCTGTCTTTCATGGTCATATGCGAAATACGGCTGTATAAATGTGTCGCAGCCCCTTGGCGTGCACACTCACATCAACGGCTGAGCGTAAACAGTGTCATGTGTGGACGTATTTTACCTTCACAAACAGCCAAGACGTGGTTTGCGATACATGTGGCAAGACAGTGAGGTGTTGTGGCAACACCACTAACCTCGTCAAACACCTCAGAGTAAATCATATCACAGAATATGACAAACTTATGTTGAGGTGAACTGGAGAGGAGTGGGACAGGTCCCGCTAGGGCGAGACAGACATCTCTTGCGGAGTCCTATAGTGCTGCAGGCAGGCAATGTGTTCAAATACACAACCTCGGGTTTTTTATGTCTGTATGATAATTCTGCATTATTAAGCAATAAGAACAAGTAGTCTGATGTCCTGTGACCATTATGAAGCCATAATTTAAAATATAGTGGTCCCTCGTTTATCGCAGGAGTTACGTTCCAAAAATAACCTGTGATAGGTGAAATCCACTGCGTTATAGCGAGGGACCACTGTACAATAAAACATTACGTTTTTGTATAAAGTATCGGTATCAGATCAGTATCGTGGATACCACCCTGAAATTTTCTTGGTATCGGATCTGAAAGGAAAACAGTACATCACTACTAATCTCATATTGTGGATGGATTATCTCAGTTGTTCTACTGACTGAAGTTTGGTCCGTTTACAGAATCCTACCATGTGATTGCATTTGTCCCTAAACATCGGGAACCCTCACGTTAGCTTTTATAGAGTGGAAAAAAGTTAGCGTTTATCCTCCAGCTTCACTGTGTTTATGTTATGCTAACGTAGCTGTGTCGCCAGCGATTACGTAGCACATCATTTAGACGGTGATGCCACAGTGTTCGTTTGACTTTGGGACCTGAAACAGACGGAGTTTTGGACCCAGATTACTCCACGAGACTCCTGACTACGGTAGTCGTAATGCTCCGGCAATCCACCAAGCTGCATCGGCACATTCAGCAGTGTGTCTGGGATCACTGTTATGATGAAAAAGCTGTTGCTAATTAGATACAGTGGTGTGAAAAAGTGTTTACCCGCTTCCTGATTTCCTCTTTTTTGTGTTTGCCACACTTAAAGGTTTCAAATGTAAATTTTAGACAAAGACTACGTAAGTAAACCCAAAATGCATTTTCTAAATGAAGATGTTTATTATTAAGGGGGGGGGGGGGGACCTACACATGGCCCTGTGTGAAAAAGTGATTGCTAAACAACTTTTTCATTTTTTTAATGATATGACTTGGTTAGACTGTATTATCTAAGTCATAACAAACAAAAAAGGGGAACAAATAATTTATTTTTAGTGACAAAGTGCCTAAAGACACAATTTAAAACTGATTATTTTTAAAGTTGTAGGCGCTTGATTCAGGTACCTTTGTATCCTTGAATGATTCATAGTTCAGCGTTAAGTAGCTTAAACAAATAAAACATGGCTCTGAAAATGGTCATGTGCAAGAACTGGACTGAAAAAAATGTGAAAAAGCAGCCAATGTCCAAAGATAAACTTTGAAAAATTGAAATACAAAAGACTTGTGCACAGTGCTCAATGTTTAAGACATGATACAAAATGTTTAAACATACCTAATGGAGGTGTTGAGCTCCTCAATCTCCTCTCGTAGTCTCTTAACTTCGTCCTGCATTTGTTGCCTTTCCTGCTGGAGCTTCATAATGTGCTCCACTGTCTTCTGTAACGTCACTGCATTACTGATCTAAAAGCACAAAGTTAATAAATATGTTTTTAATTAACAAATCAGGCATTAGAGGCAAACATGGTTCTGGACATTTCATGATAACATACAGGTACGCCTGCTTACATTTGATTGGGACTTTAGAGCAGGAACCAGGTTGCAGAGTGTCTTAAAGCCAATATTTATGTTTGATCGCCTCTTTTGCTCAGCAGATATGTGTGTGGTCCTCCGGATCTGTCATACAACAGCACAAAGGATTAGACAGTATTATGGAGATTGTATGCAATGTTAAAAAGAAACATCGGAAATGCCCCATGACGGTGTAATCCGTGCATTAAGGTCAATCTCAGTTAATTAAGATGTTTTACATGTAAAGTTGGATTTCAGGCCTATTCAAACATGATCAAACTTATTTAAGTTTGAGTTTTATGTTTGAAAACACACGAATACAAACCTGAGGTTGCTCATTCTTCACCAAAACTGGACTGGTACTGCTGATTAATGACTGTGGGCTGGGTAACGACTGTGGGCTAGGAACCTGATCTAACCCGCAGGGCGACCTTTGTCCAGATTGTGGCTGATTAGGAACTGAAAAGAAAAGGAACAAAAAACAAAACAGGTTTTAACACGTTGTGGAGGTGAAGTTTAAAGTAACTTTCTGAATTAATTCTCACCAACACTGCAGGAACCCTTCTGATTTTTGCGGCTAGAGGAAAATGATTTTTCTTTGGGAACAATTGTCTGAGACTTCTGAGGCTGAGGCACGACATGAAATCCAGATGCCTGAGATACATGAAAATATCCAAAAAATAAATATAAAAACATGAAAGAAACTTTGCAATAAATATCAATCCTCTTTACTTAAAGAAAAAAGAAAAAAGAAAAAGAAAAAAGACGGCCTTCGAACAAATTTCACAAATATACAGGTGCCAGACCAGTTAAGGATTTAAAAAAGTGGCAATTAGTGTGGCAAGAGATGTGTGCGTAAACAAATACCTGCAAACACTATAAAGAAGAGTGTAAATTAATCCACAAAGATATGAGACATTGAAGATGGCACAGAAAATGTACTTTAGGTTATTGCTGCTAAAGGTGATTCTGCAAGCTATAGAATCACATTTCTCACACTGGTTCTGCATTTTGGTTACATTTTTCCAAAATAAATTATCAAACAATATGATTTCTCATGTCTTGTTGTTCATCTGAGGTTGTACTTACCTAATTTTTAAGACATAGTAAAAATTAGATTTGTTTTGTTATAATATGATATAAAACCTTACAATTTATAAGGGGCACATTTATTTATTTATTTATTTATTCATTTAACAAAACTGTAGGAAATAAATTCAAACAATGAGCTGCAAACATACCGGTCCAAGAGCAGGAGAAGTGATGACCACACCTGTGTTAGGGACCAAATCTGCTTTCAGTGGTGTGGGTGTAACAATCACAGCATTGGCATGACCTGGGAAAGGGCCTGAGAGGATTTACACACACATACACAAATGTTACGGAGTGATCTGAAAGCTCTGTGGGAAATCTAATCATAGGATGTATATAAAATATGGTTGTAGCCACATTAACCTTGCTCATTGGTTTGTGGACAGGAGCTTTTGAGGCTTTTTGAAACCAAATGTGACAAACTGTGGATGTGACCTAGAAACTAGGGTACAGTTTTTGCTTATCTATTATCTTCTTTTCAATCAAAAGACAACCTCACTCTACTGCCTAAACCCAGATTTTTACTCTTTTTGATTCTAACGGAGACCCAAGTTTAGTGTAGTTTAACTTTTTATCGTCATTGTACTTTGCACAATAGTACTGTGGTGGATTTTTGTATGATAACTATGTAACTATATACACTATATATCTATGTGCACTGAACATATATATTTTAACTTTCATGTAGAGTCTTAAGCACAAGACATTTTGCTTCACCATGGTTTATTAAGGTGGTACAGTAACAGGGCAGTTAATGTAAGGGGAGAGTTCTCCTGAATAATTTACTCTCCGGTAACTAACCTTCCCTAATACACACTCAACGTCTTTCATGCAGCACAACCAAAACAGTAACATTGTAACAGAGATCCTGAACACATCACGATAAAATACACACGCACGCACACAGAGAAGTGTTTTAAGAACCTATGTAATTATAAAATAAGATTGTGAAGATTTAATAATTAGGGTTAATGTCTGATGTCTGTGAAGGTTCTCAGGTGATGTTTGACCGTGTCATGACCTATTGTGATAAGCCAAATCGAAAGGGTAGTCAGAGTCCTGACTGGCCTTTGGCCTAGACCTTGGCCGCTACCTGACCCCTGCAGCTGTGTTTGGCTGGAAGGCGGGTGGGAAAGTTACCCAGCAGCAGGGGACAGGGATACGGGTCCCTATATATTAGGGGACCAGTGGACACCCCCAGTACTTTTTTCCCCCTCTGCTGTTTCTCCTTGTCCGTCTCCGAGTTGCTCTACTGTCTGTGCTCAAGGCTGTACACCCCGGAGTTTTGCTTTGCTTGCTTTCTGCTATGTAATTCTCTTGCTAGATTTCTGTATGTATTTTTTCCTGCTGTTCATATGATTCAGTGTATTAAACTCTGTTCCAAGAATTCTACTCTTTTCCAGAGCATCTCTTGATTTTAATTGGATCTAAAGAGGTTGGATCTCCACATCGTTGGTGGGAGAAGGTTATCAGGATGGCTTCAAAATCTGCGACCACAGTACAATGAAACTGTAGCTCTGTAGTTTACAAAATGAAGCGACTGATATGATGAGCTCATCAGAAACATTTTGCTAAGCTCAAAGATCAAATAAGTCTTGGTTTTCTACAAAAGGGTGATTCGCCTCCTCCTGGCTTAGGCTACTTCCACGCTGGCATTTCAGACCAGCACACTACATCTGTCTTTTAATGTCATCGATGAGTATAACCTCCTTTTCAGCAGCTTTTCCTGATACATCTTACAAAGATTGTCATATTTAAAATGAAAACATCTATACTTGAAATAACTACCTCAGTGTACTTTTTTCCTTAAAACTCTAACACAAGTGAAGCTACAGTAACTCAAATATGTGTGTGTTACAACATTAAGTCATTACATTAGACATACTGTAGCGCTACCTTGTGGTGAAAATGATAATTTTACATTTCTATTTTACAGATATAAAATACTGATCTTGATTTTAGAAACCACAGACCTGTGAGGATGATCTGAGACGAGGGAAGGGTGTTAGCAGGAGCGATCCTTGGCATGGGCCGACTTTTGTTGGCACTGGGTGGCTGTAAAGGTCGAGGCAGAGCAAAAGTCTGAGTTTGCTGTACAGAAGTGGCGGCCAGAGGAGCCACAGTTTGGAGATGGGATGGGTGACCTGGCGCTTGTGCAGATAAGGTGCTATAATCCGAGCTGTGGCTGAAGGTGGTGGCAGAGTCACTCGGCGTGACAGTAGAGGAGGCTGTGTGCGTAATCACAGATGCCGCTACAGTCTCATCCAAGACTGAGGTGTTGTTCAAGGGTGAGGTAACCATGGGTGCTGCTGAGGCCATGTCCTGACCTGGAAGGCACTGTACCAGAGGATCATGTGATAACGGCTGAGCGACAGAGGGAACCTGACCACTGGGCGCCACCTGCCCAGGGAACAAGGACATGTAGTTGTGCGCATAGACACCATCGCTACTACCGCCTGACTGACTGGCCATGGGAGAGGGGACAGACATGGGGCTAGACGGGGAGATGGGGTTGGTTGTCAGCTGCATGGAGGACATTAACTGGGCCTGGCAAGGGATGAAAAGGAAACAAGCACACTTAGTAAAATATGACACAGAGCAGACACACTTCTGTGGTTTATGACAGTAAACAGACTGTCTGATGACACATCTGTTACACCTGCTCTTTAACTAACAGTAGTAAAAGTTTCAGGAGTGGATCCATGATTTATAATACTAAATATTCTGAATAATTAATAACTGACCTCACTGCTAACTGATCCTGTACCTTAATTTTCATTTGAAGTTTCTACTTTATTGAAATTTTTATTTTAAAAATATTTTCACCTTATTTAGATTTTTGATTTGCTTCATACTGAAGTTTATTTTTGAGCCACACTATTTTATTCATTTCATAGGTCATAGTTTTAACAGAATTATTAAGTGCTGAACCAAAGGATTATTTATGGAGTATTTAAAGTGTAGTACGTGTCCTGTCTTCAAATACTGGTTTTCTAAAGTCAATTACAGTGAAGTACAGTGACAGGACTATGACAGTGTGCATATATAATTGTCAAACAAGCTTCTTGTTTTTTTAAACAAGTTCACTGGACACTTTATTAGGTACAACTTTTTCAGAATCAGGAGAAAAAGTGATTTAAGTAATTTTGAACGTGGCATCGATGTTGATTGCTCTGAGTTTTTTTAAAAACTGCTGACCTGCTTGGATTTTCCCACAAAAACATCTGTAGGGTTTACAGAGAATGATTAAAAAGGTAAAATATCCAGTTAGCAGGAGTTCCTCTGGGTGAAAATGTCTTGATTGACGTCAGAGAAAAATGGCCAGATTGCTTTAAGCTCATAGAAAAGCAACAGTGACGCAAATACCCATTGGTGCAAACCAAGGTATGCAAAAGAGCATTTCTTAGAGCAGCTGGTCTGCAGCAGAAGACCATCATATAGACTCACCAATATGAGACAACAGAAAAAAAACATGTTGCCTAAGCTTTGATTTCTGCTGCAACATTCGAGTGGTTGGGTCCAGATTTGAGGTAAGTAACATAAAAGCAATGATCTATTGTCTATCAGTGGTTCAGGCTGGTGGTGGTGGTGGTGGTGTACACTTTGTACCGACTGAGCACCGTTTAAATATCACAGCCACCAGATCTCCATAGCACTGGTGGTTGAACAGGAGTTTCACATTATGGATGTGCAGCAACTCTGTGACACCTTCATGTCACTTTTGAAGGTGTCTGCTGGTTCAACCAGGTTCAGGTTTCACGAACGCTGCATATCTTTTTCATGGCTATGATGAGCCTTTGTACTGTCTGAGTTGCTAAAATTCATACAGGGATCCAGAAACAATTATCCGTGGACCCAAAAGATACACATTTTTTTCACTATAGCCAAGTCATGGCTGATTAAAAAACTTTTGAGAAACTTCAAGGAGGAAGGTATGAAAAAAAAAGCCAAATATTCAGAGCTATTTAGAGTACACAATTTTATTGAAAATTTTATGAATTAAATGTTAATCAGTTTGAGCAAGTCATGTATGAAAGTGCTGTGTAAACAGTTTAGTAATATTATTATGTTACTTCATTGTTTTTGTCTAACTACAGTAAGGCAGAAAGTTGGTGGCAGACGTGGGAGAAATACAAAGAAATTTTAAATCTAAGACAATAAAAAAAAAAACCCTCTCCTTGAACAGACTGTTTTCATGGTGGTGTGTGTTAGGGACTGAGCCTTGGATCTGTGTTTACCTGTGACTGAGAGCTGCTGCTGGGTAGAGGGGTGACAGATGATGCAGTGGGGGAAACAGAGGGGAAGGCGGGCTGACGGAGGCTGTGAAATAAGTCTGGAACAAGAGTCTCTATGTTAGCTAGAGGTTAGTAAAACCACACTACTTTTTGCGTTAGGCTAGGTCAACTGCTGTAGCAGAGTTACTAGAATATGTGTGCTTGATTTCTGTACAGTGTGCACTATTAGTCTGTGTCAAGTCCTAATGCAGCTGTGGGTGGTGCTTTACTGTTACCTTGCAGTGGATCAAATGAGTCCATGAAGTCCAAGTTAGGCTGTAACGGGATGAGTCCTGGTTGGATCATGTCAGCATTCCCTGCATGAGCTTTGGACAGGAGAGGCAGAGTTATGGGGAGTAAGGGCCACGGCATGGCTGTGTTTATGCAAATATAAGAGATCCAGTTCCACAAGCATATCTTTTCTTGATTTTCTTACCAATCTCCCTCGGATTAGGGAAGGGTATGGGCTGGTGTGAGGCCAGCGTAGAGAACAATGTGTCTGTAAACTCAGACATCAAAACGTCCATATCGAAAAGGTTGTCCATCTCCATGGGGGCAGGCGCTTCAGTAATCATACGACGAGTCACACAGCGTGCAGCGGCCTCTTCATCCTGATAAAAGGAGACACGGAGCATGTCTGGAGAGACTTCCCCAAACAGGGATAACTGCTCCTCCGGCCCCTTTGAGCGTTCAAAATGCAGTAACCACACCAGTTAGCAACACACAAGCATGCAGCATCACGTAGTATTGTGAACTCCTCATTTACATGAACTGTGCAAAAGTTTGATGGGAAATTTCATTTTATGCATTTTAGATGTTTGGTTTTTTTAAACAATACAAGCTACAATTCAGTCTTTTAAGTGAAGCCTAAAAGATTAACATTAACATTCAAGCAGGCTGCTAATTTATTTATTTATTGTTTACATTTACTTTTCCATGCTGTCAAACTCAAGACTGACATCATTACTCTAGTCCAATCATTTTCTTCTATGACCCAATCAGCTTGCTTCCTGCATGCTTCAGATCTCAGTGCTCTTCTGTCATTGTAATGTCAGACTCGCAGTCATGCACTTCCACCTCCCCCCCAGTGTCTCAGAGCCCCATCAAAGCTTCCATTTCCCTCTTCACCACCATCAGTCTCTAGATCCTAGAGGATCCTGTCCAAACTCCTGTCACTGCTGGGTCACTGCTCCGCTGTTCCACAGCCTAATCACTAAATAGCTTTTATTCAAATTCTGTATCTCGTAAATCATTTGAACTTGTCCGAATGATCTCTCCATACTGAATACTTTTTCAACACATAAAAAGCAGCTCAAAACATCCATCCGTCCATTTTCTTCTGCTTATCCGGGGCCGGGTTGCGGGGGTAGCAGCCCAAACAGAAAAGCCCAGACCTCCCTCTCCCCACCCATCTTCTCCAGCTTGTCCGGGGGAACACCAAGGCGTTCCCAGGCCAGCCGAGATATACAATCTATCCAGTGTGTCCTGCCCCAGGGCCTCCTCCCGGTGGGACATGCCTGGAAGACCTCGCCCAGGAGGCATCCTTGTCAGATGCCCGAACCACCTCAACTGGCTCCTTTCGATGTGGAGGAGCAGCGGCTCTACTCTGAGCCCCTCCCAAATGGTCGAACTTCTCACCCTCTCTAAGGGAGAGGCCAGCCACCCTTTGGAGGAAGCCCATTTCCGCCGCTTGTATCCGTGATCTCGTTCTTTCGGTCACTACCCACAGCTCGTGACCACAGGTGAGGGTAGGGACATAGATCGACCAGTAAATTGAGAGCTTCGCTTTTACTCTCAGCTCTCTCTTCACCACAACAGACCGTCTGTCGAGCTCTTGCTCCCTTCTCCTGTCACTTGTGAACAAGACCCCAAGGTACTTAAACTCCTCCACTTGGGGCAGGAACTCGTGCTCGACTCAGAGTGGGCACTCCTCTGTCCTCTGTGAACATTGTTCCCTCGCTGATATAGCCTGCATTATTTTGGCTTCATCTTTGAAACGGAAAACACATTCCCATCCCATTCCTTCTTTTCTCAGCAACAGGCATGCAATGGCCAGCCCCCAAAATAAGTCACCACCTGGATGTAACTACGCAAAAAGCCAAGAGTCTTCCAATAATTGGATAATTACTGCAGTGATTACTATGTTTCAGCTTGCAACATGTTATTTGACTGTAAATGATGCAGCGATTAGCTTTTCATTTCTTAAACAGCCACGTTGAAAAATCTATCCCATACTCATGGAAATTGTGTTACTCCATTTCAGCCAAATTATTGTCCTAGATCAAGCAAAGAAAAAAACTGAAAAGGGTAAAACTGAGTTAAATACTGTCTAATATACTATTAAATCAAAAGAAATCCTGAACAATCATGTCTGGAAAAACATTTGGAGAAATTAAATCTTAAAAAAGTAAATAAATAAACAGTAGAAGTCATTGATATGTTGATAACAGTAAAAGTAACAGCATTTCCACACATGATGAGAAGAGAACTAAAGGGACTGAAATTAAACAGCTGTGCAGCTTTGAGAAAACCACTAATTAGTGAGACTAACTGGGAAAAAAAAAGACTTCATTTCGCTATGGAGCACAAACATCGGACTCATACCAATAATAGATGAAGCAGGGTAAGAAGAGAAATGGCTGAAGTAATGCATCCATGATCCCTAGTGGAGGTGATGTTGTGATCTGGGGTTGCTCCGGTTGTTCAGGCCTATTTAAGCAATGTTTTAGGTCAGCTGACTACCTGAATATACTGAAATGCCATGCTCACTGAACCAGAGAGTGATACGGCTGTAAGTCATACCACCTTTAAGCTCAGGGTAGTAAAGCTTATTGCTGCATGAATGTGTGTGTGAGTTGAGCACTCTGCGTCATTAGGAATGTGCTATACAAATACGAGTCCACTTACACATATGAGCAGACATTCACAGCACTATAAGCTGCCACTTGAATCGCATCAACACAAAACCTTTGTTGGTGAAAAATTCATGCAACTGTTGATAGAAATAAATGCCCTGAGATTATTTACTGAAAAGAGAAAACGGCTTATTAAAATGTCACCATGGCAAATGTGTGCCGTCATTAAAGCTACAGGTAGTCAAATAAAATATCAGTTTGCATGACTTTTGACTGGACACTGTACGTCTTCACGGAGGAAGTACTGAGGACAGATGAGTGGGGTTTTATATCCATATTCACTCACATCAAAACAAATATAAAATGTTTTAGGCTCCACAAAGAGCTCAAATTTTATCATGAACTGCGTCTGGGATTGCATGAAGGAACAGAAGATGACATAAACTCCCAGAAAAACAGTTGCTGTTTTAAAGTGAATGATCACTAACACCAAATACAGATTTTATTTTGGGCTGAAGTTTGAGTAAAACTAATAAACAGGTTCATTTTCTTTAAAGCTCCGCTTTAAATTTAACAGCTCAAACTTTTGCACAGTGCTGAATGGGTGAGGATACCACCATACCCGGCATGTTGGTCCTTTCACATGGTTGTGTGATGTAAAATCATCACACAACCACATCCATTTATAGTCAGCATTACAGCACAGGTAGCTGCTCCAGTATTCTCCTGAACCATAGGTTTGACACTCACACCTCGACATCAGCGCTCATGTCTAAACTCCACAGTTTGTTAAAGTGCCCTGACACTGTTAAGCAGTGGCTGGCAGGTGGATGGTTGACAGTTTTCTTCAGTTAAATTAAGACAAAACTAAAATAATTATCTTTGCACAAGAATAATGCATGTCTGGGATAAATGAGACACCTGGACCTCTTGGTTATTTGGCAAAATTCTCTGTTAGGAACCTTGGCATAACGTTTGATTCTGGTTTTACTCAGAATGTGAGTTTATGTGACCAGTTGTTTGTCTGCTTTGCTAATCCAGCCAGAGGTCCTGCTCTGCCTAAACAGTGGCTTTCCCACTGGATTATAGAAGCCATCTCACTGGTGTACAGCACCAAGAGTCTTGCTTTGCCCCAGGGTGTGAGAGTTCATTCCACCATGGGAATGGAAACATCATGGGCTCTTTTTAAAAGGGCCATGATGTTTGTGCTGCAGCTAGTTGAGCATTACTTTTGTTCAGTTCTATCATCTGGATGTCACAGCCCCTTTGGTGGCTCATGATGTCCTTTCTGCTGGGTCTACCACACGCTAAAGCGCTGGCGGTCTGATTCTAGTTCGGTGGCTGCTCTGTGGGGCGTGTAGAAATGTTCCATACTTGTGTGCTGTACCTAGTGAATCAACTGAATCGAATGAAAGGGAATGAACGGTTATATCTATAACTTCTGTTCCCTGAAGGAGAGGAACAAGGTACCGCCACGCAGCTTGGCTCGTTGAAGAGCGGATATCAAACTGAGGGATGGCTGTGATGACTGGGGGTATGTGTGCAGGTGTCGCGCCACAGCGACACACATTTTGTCGTGCACATCGAGAAGTGCACGACTGGCGGAAATGATGGGAGAGGTGACAATATTCCACATGCCGGGTATAATGGGACCCTGAATGAGTGAGTGAGTGAGTACATAGTTTTACAAGCTAAATTAGATGCACACAACCATAAGTGCCTTGTATGCATAGTCACAGATGATCTTCTAAGTACAAATAATTTCAAGTTGACTGGGTTAGTGTGGTTTCATTTCATCAGTATCAATATCTGGCTGAACAGATGTTGACACTAATGATTATGTTAATATTAACGTCTTGTTAGTGACCTAAGCATGTTGCAATGCTGCATACCTTAAGTAAGCTCGAGAGGTCGTCATCCTTGTGTTTCTGTAGCTATAAAAGAGTTCACAAGTTCAACATTAAATAAATATTTATGCTTTATGGCCAAACAACATGTCTACTAAAATTTCTCAGCATCTTTGTAACAGAAACAATGTTTCAGTAAAACTATACTGCACCCTTTTCTTAAAGTATGTTCTCCATTTGTGGTATTCTCTTATGACAATTTCAATTCTTCTTTTCCAGCATTTCCCCTCTGCAGCGATGGCCTGGAATAGAGAGAAGGCAAGAGATAGGAACTAAAACGAAGCCTATGAGAAGCATATGGTACAAAGAAAGGAAGCAGGAAAGGAAAACAAACATCAATTTCAAGAAAGTGGTTTGAGTGTCTGGACAACTGGATGATTTCAGTGAAAAGAAAAAACAAGCCTCTGTGCATCTCACAATGATCACAACTTCTTCATCTTTACCTCAGGACGAGGGATGTCCAGGTCCATACTTCCATCAAGTGGTGTCACAAAGTGACAAACAGGATTCGATCTTTTCTCCACATCTGGGGTTTGAAAAATAACTCAAGTTTAAAATAGAGAGTTGGATTTTTCCATCTTAGAAAAAGATATTTGCAGAATATGAAAAAAACAAGCAACATAACAGGTATGTACAGTTAGGCTTTCCATACATTCATCATGCACAAGAATGTCAAGGTTATTTTGGTCCCCTAATGACTTCTTCAAACTGCTATTTTTCCAGGGTAGAATGATTGTACTGCATGCATCTCTGGTGATTTAAAAACAGAAAACAAAACAAACTAGAATACGCTCATTTCTAAACGACTGCGTCTATATATTTACCCTTTTCTTTTTCCACCGTAGAAAAAGAAGAGTTCAACAAATTGACCAAAGGCCCAAAATTGCTACAACATTTATACCCACGATGAGTGGATGTAACATTTTGACTACAACTGCAAATGAAAGCTTCATTGTTAAAATAAATAGCTCTATTTGTTTAGTTATAACTCACCCAGCTCAGAAAACACTTGACCCAGATTTAGTTTACTTAGTGATGTAAATGAAAGTTACTATTAGTCACTTCCACAAATCAGGCGTTACCTGTGGTGACCTTAGATTCACATCAAAGTGTATTTAAGACATGCAGTTTTCAGTTTTAAGTCAGCTATCGCCAGGCTGGTATAACTTTGAAATATATTAGCCAAAACATAGTGGCTCAGCTTGCAAAACATGGATTATAAGTGTAGTCCGTGTGCTTCTCTGTTTACTTTTCATTTTTTTCTAGAATTAGGTTTACTGCATGTCTGGAAAAGTGGCTAAGCCTCTGCTGTAGTAATGACTTTCAAGAAACATGTTCACATGTGATAAAGTATTATATCAGAAAGACCACAAGTAGCTATTTATAAACACAAATAGAAGCTTGAACTATAATTTCAGTGAGAAAAGCATGCTGACATGTCCTAACCATGATACTAATAGTCCATTCCAACAGAGCGTTTTTAAAAGCAGTATTCAGGTCAGTACATGTCCCACAAAATGTGTAAAAGATTTCAACAGTGATAATAAGAGAGGTTGATTACAGGTTTCTCCAAACCCCTTCACTCTGCTCTCACATTGCTGGATCAGCCTGTGTATGAAAGGATACTGGAGACAGAAGATCAGAAACTGTCTCAAAGATCTATTATGGTGGAAGTAAGACCGGCATGACATCCTCTCCATTCTCTTTAGTATCATTCTTAAGTGCATATCTCATCCTATCCTGTATTTCTTTGTTGTTTGTAAATGGCTTCTAATTTATCTGGTATAGCTTTTAGGAAGCCCATCAAACACTTATACTGCTGATTCCACACTTCCTGTGCTCTGACCTGATTTCCCCCAGGATCTAAAGTCACATGAAAAACAAAGTTTTCACAGGCTCTATGCAGTCCTGTGAATAACTATACCCTTACTGCTTAGATAGCTTTAAGAAAGGAAGGCACTGGAAATCAAATGCACTTGATTAATTAACTGATCATCTGCAAAGCTCACCTGGAGCATTCAGGTGTATATTAACATAATCCCACAATCCAAAGGAGAGATGTCCCAGAAAAAAGTCAAACAATAAAAATAAAAAAATAAATATATATATATTTTTTAAAACACACAAAAAAAACCTCAAGCCTACATCTCAGACTCTGCAGGCTTCAGTTATCATGTTAAATGTTACATTTAGATCACTTCAAAAGCACTGAACAAGCACAGCTTGTTTGGAACGGTTGCCAGGAGAACTCCTCTTCTCTCTAAAGGAACATGTCAGCACAGCTTGCAAAGTTTGCAAAATAAACCAAACACAGACACCTCACACTAACTGTCAGAGTGCATTCTTGATACAAATGTGAAGCCATCTGTTCAATAGCTAAAGCTCGGCTCAAACTTGGACTTGAGGTTTTCCAATGGCCCAGTCAAAGTCCAGACATCAACCTGACTGAAATGATGTGCCAGGACCTTAAGAGAACTGTGCATAAATGAACGCCCGCAAAACTGACCTGAAACAACATTGTAAAAAAAAAAAAGAAAAAAAAAAGAGCGGGCCAAATTTCTTCACAATAATGTGAGAGACACATAAATTCACATGTAAAACAAGTACTTCAACATATAGCTGCTAAAGGTGGTTCTACAAGGCACTAAATTGTGGGTGTAGTTAGTTTTTCAAAGCCTTTCATGTTCCTCCCCTTCTTATGCATATTGTTTTAGATCTTTATGCAGATTTGTAGTGATTAAAACTAGTGTCTCATTAGAAATTTCACATTGGAACAATAATTGCTAAAATTCTATAATAGGGGTGGGAAGAGGGTTGGGGGAAAAACCTGACAGAAAAAAATAAGTTGATAAGTTCAGTGTTATGAGTAGACACAACACTGCTTAATCCCTGGAGTTATATGCCTTTTTTATGCTTTAGTGTCATATATAGCAGCATTAAGTCGCTTAATAAAATTATCTCTTTGAAAAGGGTGAGGTAGAATTAACGGACTGAAAAAAAAAAAAAGCAGCTGCTGTCCACAGAAAAGCTTTGAAAGACTTTTAAGCCTGGAGAACTACTGCTTAAGACCACTTTTAAAAAATTACACAAAGGTCCGGAAGCAAAACTTAAAGAAATGAGGAGTGCCTCTAGACTTCCACAGTACTGTATTAGGCTTCTTAGTCAATCATTTTGTGTTGAATTCTTTTTCTTTTAAACATACATTTATTTCCACTTTAATTAGCTGAAAACCAATTAAATAGGAGTGAAACTAAACATACCTGGTGCAAAATTCATTTGGGAAGAAAAGAGCTATGCAGTTAGAGAAACTAAGAGCAGCACATCAAAAGAAACCGCAAAACAGTAATCACTTCTAAAAATAACTGGATTCTATGATTGATTCAAATTGTGTTACACTGAAGGCAATGTTTAATTAAATATTAACCAAAAACAGTCACTTTCACATTTTGTGTATGAAATGAAAAGCACTGTGGAACTCTTACATTGGATGTACCAGGCTCGCCATATAGCGTTGTTCAGGCGAATCTTGTCTCTCCAAAGCAGTTTTAGCCCTTTGAAGTTCTTCCACTTTGGAGACACCAACTTACCACTGAAAAGGAAAGAAAAACATCAGTGAAATAACTGTAAGACCAAACCAAAACCTTTAAAATACTGTAAGAATAACCTGCATTAGCAAATCACAAACAGTTTTTTTTCTTTGATTAATTGATCATGCACACGTTAATCACGTATCTTTTTCAGGTGAAATGATCACAGGTTTTTTTTAAAAGCCTAATAGTGATACTTAGAGGCTATACTGATCCAACACCCATCAATTAGTAAAAAAGTAAGGGAGCACCATCCTCTGACAGGAGTTATGTGTCTGACGAAAGAGTTTCACCAACTGTGCGGCCTAAATTTGGCTAATTATATTTGAACAGAGGTGGGCCGCAGGACAAAATGTAAATAAATAAAAATGTATAATCACATTAAAAAAAGGTGTGAAAATAAACCACATGTGTTGTTCGCCTGCTCAACCCGTGACTTATGTCTAACCACAAGAGCGGGAAAGCAAAGGCAGACAAGAAAAAGGAAGCCTGTTTAAAGTCATGCTTGAGTTACAAGTTATACAACAAGATGATGGCAGCTGCTCCTGCTGCTTACGCAAACAGTAACATCACTAATACACAGACACACACGTCGGTAATGTTGAGACAAGTGAGCACTGGAGGAACTCATCTGTATGTGCAGGTATGTGTACAGCATGTGCGCTTAATGATTACATCACAGTAACGATTCTGTCTGTTCAGTGTCGCATAAAAACAAGATGGGAGAGTCAAACAATCAATGATAAAAATCACTGACGCTTCGTGGACTTAAGGGGTGCAGGTGTACCATTCTGATATCTGAGTGCTAAATTGTAAAAAGACTGACCATTAAATTAAAAAACAACAATAGAAAAATTTCCAAAGCGCCTTAACGGGGAAATGTTTACTACAATCCAAAGGGGTTGGCTCACAGTTTCCCGTCTTTCCATTCTTCCTGTCAAATTTTACAGTCAGTCTCTCTTGACCAATTCTTTTCCTTTCCATCATTTGTTTGTTTATTTACTGTACTGAGTATTATTTACTGTACTGCACACTGTGTGAGTCTTTTGGAGCATATACAACCGTTTCAATGGTAAATGCCCTTTTGCTGAAATAAACCCTCATCACTTACAACAAAAACAACAGAACAGTAACTGTATCTTTAAATAATCAGGGCAAAGGAAATCAAATTAATTTTATAAATCCCTGCTCAGGCATAACTGCTCAACATTGTCTGGATCTGTAATTGAACTGGAAACTTGAGATGCACAGTTTACACTAATAATTGACATATTTTTGGCTTTAAAATGAATCAACTATTGATGAGAAATAAATATTTTTAATTCTGAAGCACTTATGTGCTACACATATGATGATGGCACAGAAACCAGATTTTAAACGAAGGCAAATTTTGATGTACAGGCCTGAGCCAGGGTCATGGTGGGGGTGTCCTGTTCTTTTAATCTGATATGTCACCAAGTCATATAAACTCATTTTATAAAACCACCAGTCTGCTGGCTATGAAGGAGAATGCTAGTTTTAAGAGCCTTCTGCATTGACTTCATACCAAGTAGAAATGTCTTTAAAACACAGTCCATACCTCTACTACAACCACAGAAGCATGTGCAGCTTTGTTTACAGTTCAACTCAGAGTGCTGACATGATCAGTATGTTTGATTCATCCCACTAGCGCACAGGAAAAATTGCCATGCTAACTTCATGTCTAATCAGCCAAGAAACAATAACAAGTACAGTCATGTGAAAAGGAACGCTTTTACAGGACTCTGCCCACAGACTAATTACGCCCTATGATTCAACGGCTTGTAGATCAACCTTTTGTAGCATTAACTCCAAGTAATTGTTTGCTGCAGGATTTTATCAGTCACTCATACCATTGTGGAGAAGTTTTTACCCACTCTTCATTACAATGTTGCTTCAGTTATATAAACTTAGCAGGTATTTGTTTATGCACAAGTTTTTTCTAAGTCCTGCCACAGCATTTTAATCGGGTTGAGGTCTGAACATTGACTGGGCCATTTGCAAAACCTTGATCCTTTCCTTTTTCAGACATTCTGTTGTTGATTTGCTGCTGTGTTTTCCCATCCTGTTATCAATGAGAGAAGAGACTTTTTCCAAACAGGCCGTCCAAACAAGCTATACTTGTTCAGTCTTTTTCCATTTCTGTCATTAACTTTAACATTTGAAATTTCAACTGAGACCTTTAGAGTCTGAGACATAGCTCTTTGTGGTTTTTGCTGGTTTTACGAGCACTGGTTAATCTGAGGTGAATTTTATGGGATGTCTATACCAGCAAACTGGCAAAACTTCTGCTTTCATAAAGGTGCTCACATTTACTGATGATCTACAAAACCTGGCTGCTACTTTCCTTCATTGTGGCAGCAGTAAGGGTGTTTTTAGGTTTTAACAGGATTGCACAGAGTCCTGTGAAAACTTCCTCTTTCACATGACTGTAGATAAGCCTGCCACAAAACAAATTAAACTTTTATAAACGTCTACTGTGCACAAGGGTCAGCATAACAACATATCTAGTTGATTCCTGCATCCAGATTTTTTGGTTCTAGGGTCCCTGGATGAGAAAACTGCAAAACTCAATGGGGTTAGTAAGAAGGGATGAGGTACAACTTAATTTAAGTAGGAACAATTTAATTACCAGAGCCCTGAAATATTCTCTAACGACTATAATGCTAAACATTAATGTGTGGTCACACAGATAGGACAATGTGGCTTGACTCAACAATGGTCAATATGGCTCTCTCTCTCTCTCTCTCTCTCTC